GTACTTTAATGTCAATCTGAAAGAGCCAAAAGAAAATTAAGGAGAGGTAAAGTTATTTCTGGACTTCTATCCAGAAATAACTTAAAAATTAAAGCAAAAGCAACAAAATTTAATTCGCCATTATATAGAATAGAATAGAATACCTTTATTCAGCATTAACATTTATGTGCATACATGTATCTACAGAGGTTAAATTACTGAACCATGCTGAAAAGGCGCCCGCTCAGCGAAAATCGTGACATGACATAAGTCGTCAAGTTACGAAGCTGGTTTTCAGCGGGTACCAACATGGGGGGTTATTACGCCAAATAAGCGCCCTTTTGACAGTGACGGTTTATCGATAAAATTCGTGTCGGTTCGTAACACTTCCTGACAAAAAGGCGCGCAATAGAGGGCGCTGCAGTTAAAATAAAATATCAATTTATTAAATAAATACAAAATAAGATAAAGGTAGACCTAAAATATGACATTTACAAAATATTTAATAAAAATAAACTCCACAATTGTTCCAAGTACATTAAATAAAATAACGAGAATAGAACATAATCTGTTAACGGTATAATGATATTTTTACTATAAAAAATAACTTTAGTACATAAGTATCTGTGGGGCGGTTCCGGACTGCTGACCTGTGTTTAATTAATATCTACCTACTGTAGGATTTGGTGAACTATCACACAGATCGTTAACAACGAGGAATGTGAATAACTAAGGTTCTCAATAAACGTTTGTAAAAAAAACTAAATGTAACACATTTTTATTAATCTTTAGTATTTTAACAAACCTACTTACTCTAAGGCTGAGTTGCATCACCTTATTTTAACTGTGACTATAACGTACTTATTATTATTCTGTGCTATAACGACAACCGGTGTATTTTGTATGGAGTTAGACAGACTTTTGATGTTTGTTAAAGTTAAAGTAAGATGGTGCAACCCAGCCTAAGTTGCTTTGTACTTCATAGCTCGATCATGACTCAAGACTTTCGACTTAGTTCGAACATTATTTTGTGTTACATTACAAAGTTTGCTAAACTGCGGTAACTCGGTTGCTGGTATAGCCGAATTCCTGACCGAGCAGTTGTTCTTACTTGTCCATGATAATTGTATAACAAACTTCACTACCAGCAGAATTAAGATGGATAGACGAAACCCTCTTAGCTATGTGTTACGTTGAATTTGTTTGATTTTATCTACGAAAGCAGTCCATTGAAATGCTAGGCTTATGTTCTTTCTTTACGTCAGCAAGAATTTTTGGCACAGTGTGGTTTATTTTTTTACGAAGTGACGCACATTATAGCAGGGTTTCCCAATTTTTTTTTGCCAAGGAACACTAATTGATTATACTTTTCCTAGCGGAACCCCCGTACTACTCCGCCCGCACGCCCTGCCCCTCCCTTGTGCGTAAACAAGTCGGTGCGAGTGTGGTGCGAGCGAACAACGTCGGTCACGAAACGTGGGATAATATTTTTTACGGAACCCTTGCGGCCTTTCCACGGAACCCCAGGGTTCCGCGGACCACCATTCGGGAACCGCTGCATTATAGAGTCCCGATTCAATGCGCGTAAAATTACGTAAGTTCTGAAGTAAACTGATCTTTATACCTTTCAAATTATGTAGTTTTTTATTGTTAGATGGGTGTCATAGAGGGTAGTGCTCTAGGGCAGTGGTTCCCAAAGTTGTCTGGGCTACGACTCATCAAATATAAGTTCCCAGACTCGGGACCCCCTTATACCACGTGGGATGTACTTTGCATTGAATTGCACAAAATAACCGTTGCGTATCTGTATTCATTTCATTTCAGCTTATCTCGGTATACGAGTGCCTTCTAGTGCCTGTAAATTAGATTTATTAGGTGGATACCTATGTATATTGTAACCGTTATTATCAATGGATGTTAGGGATTATCAATTCTAGATAGGCAATATGATTTGTACCTATCATAATGTCAACTTGAGTGGTGATAATTTTGGGTTAGATTTTAGGTAACTAATGCTTACGAAAATTGCCAGCGTCGACTTTAGACGTATTTCAGAAGCAAGTAAAGTATTTGGTTGAAAATATTGTTCACTCTCATTTTCAATAAAATAAAACAAGAAAGTGGGACCTGTGCATTGCTTAAAAATGTAACGATAGTTTTGTTGTTTTTCTTAGAGCTTTGATAAACTTATTTATCGTGATGGACAACTGCCCATCACTTTTAAAATTTAAACAATCCCCCGTGATGGAACTTTTTTAAACAATTAAAACTTAAAATAGGTTAAAAAAGTTCAGTTACATAGTCCTAGATTTAAAATGTACCGATGTTAGGTTTTTATAAGATTTATTACCTATATTTTATTAATATACATTAAGCACAAATAAAAGGTTGATAGACGACTAAATAAAATCCACCCTAAAAGTCTAACTAAAGTAAAAAGCTGTTTGGATCATTACTTTTTTATAACGATAACCTTTACCTTTTCAAAGTAAAAATTTCATTAAATACTTACTTTAGTTACAAGGAGTTTTGTTTGAACTGAGCCTAGCTCGTAATAATATTTTAATTTGACCAAGAAACTTCAGTAACATTAAAAGTAATTTGTTTTATGAACTGCTAGTGCTTCTTAAAGATAAAAGATTTTTCGACTAAATTAAACGTGCCTTCTTATTACGTTCTTGTAAAGGTAGGTTTTATAAATAGGAATTTGTGGCGAAAGAAGTCACAACGTTAAAGCATTTATAATAATTTGATATTTATACCTAGGTTCTTATATTTGAAATGTTTGCTCAAATTAATCTTAGAACAAAATGCTCTTTCTGTGGAATTTTTAATTTATCCTAAAGTAATTGGTACATTAGTATTATGTCGTAATACTATAAACGCGAAAGTGAGGATGGATGGATGTTTGTTACCTACTTCTTTACGCAACGAATGCAATCTACGAGCATAATTACTGGACTGACTTTGATAAAAGTATAAAAGTTTTGACTATTTATCAGAACAGAAAATATAGAATTAATAGTTAGACTTCACAATCATGTAAGAAATTGATTTCAACCAAAAATATTTTGATAAATCGTTGCCAAACAAAACGAAATGTGATAAATGCTAGTGTATCGATCAAAAATAGGAGTATTTGTTCCTCATGGTTATCTTTAGAACAGCTGAAATCAATGTAAACCGGATTTAAACTGTAGTGATTGGCATTTAGCCTGTTTTTTTTTATTCCCAGAAGTTGTATTTCAAGGGCACACGTCAATATAGCGAACGTCTTTTATTATCACAAAATATTTCAGCTATCTCGCGTAGACAACGATCTCTATCTAAGAATTTATTTTCTAAAAACGTCAAAGTGACCTATGTGTGTATGTTAAATATACACACATAGGTCACTTTGACGTTTTTAGGAATTAATAATTATTTTTTTCATTATCTAAGAATTGACTTGAAACTTTTTTTATGAATAGAGCAATATGTGGATAGTTTAAAACTTATTCGGTTTTGCATTGTTATGACATTATTTATGAGTTAGGCACAGGAAAAGTTACTATTGCCGTATTTTCTTGTGCGTTTGGTGAATTATTACAAACTGAATTATAATAATTTTGTGTACATTTTGCTTAGCTTTGGAAAAAATAAACGTGATACATTTCAAGCTAAAGGTGTGTACTCACATTTTATTATACTTCCTAAGCCATACAAGTTATTTATTTACAATATTTAAAGCCTCAAAGACAACCTTATCAAAATTGCATTTATTTTTTTAAGAACGAGTCCCGATAGTCCGATATTAGCGTGTATTTATAGTAATTTATTTTTTTTCTATATCGAGACATTATGGCGATGAAGATTCAATAGTTATTTTTTGCAGCCAGTTGCAACCTTTTTAGTTGTGATTTTTTTAAATAATATCTAATATGCTTTCTAATATCGTCTGACCCGGTAATTTCGTAATTGTCAAAATGTGTTGGCATAAGAACTCACACAGAGCCATCGAATAAAGATATTTGGAGTCTTTTACAAGACCCAGATTTGTTGTGTGATGACGAAGAAGACAAATTAGTGTATTTTTGTACCAAAATGATGAATTTATCTTCACACATTCGATTTCACACATATTTAATCAGAAAATGTACGCAAAATTAATGTTTATTCATATTTTTATTAACGTTCTTTACGGTTAACGTATTTTTTTTATTATGTGATATAATATGTGTTTATTTTAATGAAGTATTATTCATATAACACATTTTTCGCAGTTTATTGTAATGCTTGGACACTTTAATGACAGCCATCAATTATTAGAACCTTGTATTTATCTGTTATCTACCTAAAAAAAATATATTTCACCAGCACTAATTATTAATTGCTAGAAAAATCAAAGTGACCACTGTGATACAGGGTGTACGTGAACATGAGCCTATACAGTGAGTACCATCGAATATTAAAATAATTCTATGAGGTATTTGATTAGTCGACGTAAGTTCTCGTTCTAAGAAAGTTATTTTAAGCGATTTCATAATAACGTTCCAATTATAATTGACTAGGTTTCTGCCCGCGGTTTCCAAAGCGTGAATTTTTATTTTCAAAAACTGGGATAAAATATGTCCTTTCCCAGGACTCAAACTATCCCAGTGTTTAGGTGTGAAAGCGACACAAACTGTTACTTTCGCATTTATAATATTAGAAGGGATTGTAGCTTATAAAGTGATCATACGCTAAGCTTTCCGAAATTTTATGAATTTTTATGAGCACTTTATTACAAAGACTACTCTGGGGACTACTACACAAAATAACAGTTTTAAGGTCACAATTTGTCATACATTTTTCATGTCATTTTTTACGCCGTCGCTAGAGAACACATAATCGTAAACTCATGGTAAGCACTCAGGACTTTAGAAGGGAAGCGATTTCAAAATTAGAACTGTCACCTTTGTACCTTTGCAGTTCTCTTGTACCTACACCTTGTATGATACTTAAAATAATATAGTAAAAGAAAATAATTATCATTACTTTACCCGACAGCGGCACCCCTTCACAAACGCTGGAACGCTCGCGCTGGTACGACCGGCTCGCGTCGTTGAATTTCAAACACAGGCACCCGCCGAGGGCCTGCCACAAAGAAATCCTATTAAAAACGGGCCAAGTGCAAGTCGAATTTGTACACAATTATTTCCTTGTCACTCACTGTGTGTGAGAAACATCACAAGAAAAACGTTTTGTTATCTCTTTTTTAATGAGAACAGCTAGGGACTGGAATTCACTGCCTACTGAAGTCTTTCCCAAGTCTATAATCCGGGTCTTTTCAAGGCGAGAGAGAATAGGCACTCACACGGCAGGTAAGTATCATCCTAGACTGCAACTCACTAAATACCTGCTTTGTACTGCATAAAAAAATGGCTCCCATTTAATTTTCATAAATTTTTCTTGGCTCATTGTGTAATTTTAGGACTTTTAATTAACGAATAAAACATGTATGTAGTACAAATAGTATAGTTGTTACTTCGATAGTGAGTGTAGTGGAAGTTAATAAATGAAAAGAGTGGACTGTATAAAATTAATTGTCTATTCGGTATACAATAGTATCGAGACTGTTTAGTGCAAAGTCGTTAAAGAGAGTGCGTCAGGATCGTCTTCTTCCATGTTCGCTCGCGAACCGAACATTGCTCGTTCGTTCGCCGAACTGTGGCCGAACGCTCGCCGCTCCCTCCGGTCACGCCGCCCGCGGGCAATGTCCGTGAGTGGACAATAGTACTTATTATTATTCTGTGGTACAACCACAGTATAATTTTGACATTACATGTTAATTATTAATGATCGGTAGATGTCGTATAAATGTAATTTTGGTGACTTTTATTGGTACATACTCTCAGTAAAGTATGAATTGATTACACTTTTAAGTACCAACCATATTACAAGGTAAGATATCTTTTCAAACTGCGTAATGTCTTTCCAGGCATATAATGGAGCGTATAAAAGTATTACTTTGGACAAAGTAACATTTTGAAAGCTATTCAAAGTTAGGCAAAGAAAACGAAAGCACTTTTCATTTTGTAAATAAGGTTTCAGCAATATTTTTCTTACATTATGGCTTACTTACCTATATCTAGATTCTAGAGCATCCATTTAAATATGTCTAGAAATTCAATTCAAAGTCTTGCCAGTTCTTTTAATTGCCAATATAATTTATTTTGAGACCTACTAATAAATGTACTTATGTATAGTTATTGCAATTCACGAAGGCGCATGAGCTTTAGTACATTTGTGTGGTGGCTCGCTACTGTTCGTTTTTACCCGACTGCGCCAGAAGGAGGGTTATTCAAAAGTTTTGACAGACTTTACACTATCGTTATGTGCATGTACCTACACGTACACACACAAGTAAAGCTCACTCGCCTTCGTGAGTTACAAGAACTATATCTCTATTGATGACGTAGGAGTGGAAGTCAATAATTTATCTATTATCTGAGTTCTCCCTAAAATGGCTGGCTGTGGTGTATTAGGTCAGTAGTTAGGTAATAAAAGTTCTTTGTAATTAAAACAGACTAAGTAGAAGCACACCATCCAATTTAATTAAGGTGTAGACACCTAATTAATCTGATTGGCAGGCCCAAAAGTTTGTTACGTGGATTTATATTTGAAGGTAAATTGGGTAAAGCTCACTTAACTACGTACACTTGAAAAACATTATCCAATTATAATTATTAAAGTACCTTTATTAATCGTGTGTAAAGATAAAATCAATTTACACTTAAAAAAGTTTTAATCCTGATTAACATTACAGTTTGACTCTATGCATTATAAAAATTAGTTCTGTTCTTGTTTGGGACATTTTATAAAATTAATAAGAAGGTTACATACCTACTGGGGCGCAACGTTAAGGTATTTATACTAAACTAGCGATCCGACCCGGCTTCGAACGGGTGCAATGCTGATATGCATGCATGTATTAAGTATACATGTAAACCTTCCTCTTAAATGACTATCTATTAAAAAACCGCATCAAAATCCGTTGCGTAGTTTTAAAGATGATCTAAGTATAAAAGGGACAGAGAGAGGAAAGCGACTTTGTTTTACTAGGTAAGTACTTATGTAGTGATGACGCAGATTACATACCAGAGGTGGAATTGTGTAAGTAAAGCAATCGTAATCATTTGACAGTTCATAACGTACGATTATTCTGTCAAACGCTTTGTTTAACTGACTTTATCGTACGTTATGAACTGTCAAATGATAACGATTGCTTTACACAATTCCACCTCAGACCCGCCAACTCGCTGACATGAGTCGTCGTTTTGACAAGTTGTCAACATGATTCTTTTGAAATCCAACCACCAAGCCGCCGGGTTTGTTGTCAAGAGTCGTTAAAGATACAAAATACTAGTATTTATAGTTTGTACATCAATTTATCTTTTACCCAATACTTATACTAGACGAGACGCTATTTCGTATAATCAAAGTAATATAGCATCCTCGTAATAAATATTTTCGTGGCAGACGAATTACCACCTACGCGTCCGGAGAAATGTACAAAAACAAAACTAAAGTAGGTAAAACATTTCTACAATATTGTTTTACTTAGGTACTTACTTAGGTGGGTATATCATTTATTGTTAAGTGAAAAAGGCTGTTTATGTCTAACTTACAGTAAATCATTGATAGTAAATGGCCATTTAGTCTTTTGTTTCGTTTGTTTCAGCCGAAAGACTTCCACTGCTGGACAAAGGCCTCCCCCAAGGTTTTCCACAAAGACCGGTCCTGCTCTGCTCCAGGCACCTCCCGCGACCTTCACCAGATCGTCGGTCCACCTAGTGGGAGGCCTGCCCACACCTCTACCGGCTCGTGTTTTTTGTTTGTTTAGTATCAATAAGCTCACTAATGGAACAATTTATATGCAATTTTATAAATTACTTAGTTGGCTATTTTTACCATATTATGTGCCAATAATATTATGAAAACTGTCGTTAAGCCCCTTAAAAAACAATTATTTTAAAGTATCCCTTAATGTTTAAGGAAGTGCGAAAAAATACCCTCCTTTAAATTATTGAGGTAACAGTCTCTTTAATGGATTTAGATACTTATGCCACGACAGTACCCTGGTTTATGTGGGATTTCCACAGAATTCATGACATTACCAGGTAATATTACCAAGGAATTTATTTCGTGGTTCTCCGTCGATACATTTATTTCTACATGGTAAGTAATGATTCGTGCTGGTTAAAAATTTATTAAAAATCTACTGCCTTAAGTGGAACTAGAACCTACGAACTTTCGTTATCAATTGTATTTCACACTGTAAGATATTTTTAAATTTTAAATCATGGTAAAGATAATAAGTTAGGTATAATAAATAAATAAAAAATCAAACAAAAATTATAAGAATTTCTTGCAATTGGTATAATGTCAATATTATTATAGGTGATGCTTGACTTTTACGATTGATACGGCTTGAGTTTCATAATAAGGACTCTTCGTTGAAACAAAAAATATTTATAATTTTCCGAGAGATATCTAATAGGTAATTTTCCACTCAGAAGCTTAGTCTGTATACCGTTCGAGTCTTTGCGAATCCGCCCCACACCCAGTTCATTTTTAATAGCTACGTCTAGTTAAGCGGCTTATATTATATCTTTTCAGCTTTTTTCCCAATAAATTGAGAACAAGAGGGCGCAATATTTTCCTCTTCACTTTGTTTGGTTATCTATTTTTTATTTGAAACAGAGAACGATAATTTCATAATAATGATAACTTTCTTTAGCGTAACTTCGTTCGCATGAAGTTCTAAGCTTTTATTACGATTTTCCTCTGCCAGAAAGGGGTTTTTTAATGCAGAAAATACATCAAAAATTATTTCTGCTGCAACTGCAGCCTCAAGCCTGCAGCTCGAAATAAGGTCAACAAAATTAAGCCCCCTCTTTCCACCCTTAATTTGCCCTGTCACTAAATCTGTTTTAGCTGACGTCAGCTGCTTATGACGGAATCTGTGACGGAATTAAGGGGGTCCAAAAACATGGGACTTTATTAAGTTTTGAAAGTCCCATGTTTTTCCTACAAAATAGACTATTAAAGTGTTTATATCTGAATCTGCATACTGACCTTAGGTTTTCAATTTTATTTTGGAGTTTTAATCGTCATTTTGACCTATTTCAGAAAACAACTAACTGTACTGGATGAAAGCAGAATGTCTGATAAATAATAATATTCCTTTACTTAAGCTGCTTGAACTGTGCTTGAATGAGAAATACGCTGACAAACTCTCTCCGGTTGTTTGTATTATTAATATAGATGTTTTTTATTACCTTACGGTGTGTGCTTCACAAAGATATTTCCTATTATAATGGAGTACACTAACGATGTTTATGATGCCGACATAAATCTATATTTATTTTACGGGGAACGCTAAAACGTTGAAGTTGTTCTCAGAGTAACGATGGGTTGGCTACGATAAATCCCAATTATCGATCACGGCTCAGACCTCTAGCAATCGTTATCTTTGGATCGATACGAAACGATTGGAATGGTTAGATAGTGTGGAGGCTTGATATTAAGGAGCTTTACTTTATGGTTTTTGTAACAATGGTAGCTAGAATGCACCTTAAATGAATAAGTTTTGAAAAATGCTTAAGGTTTTTACTTTTAATCTTTATTTATTTCTTTTTTCCTTTTATATCATCTCGTACGGTTACAGTCAGTCTCTTACTCTCAAATTGTGTAAGCGACATATTCAATTAGTGAATAAAACTGTGTGAATAGATATTATTAGGGATTCAACATACATAAATAGTACCTAACTTGTGGTTTCTTTAGGGAATTTGCGGTTAGTTAGTTAGAACATGTAGACTCGGGTGCAATGAGTTGCCGCGCAAAATTAATGACTACTTCTAGAATAATTTTTCGTGATATCTTTTGACGTCTTAAGCAACGTCTATTTTTATAATTTTTCATGATAACTTTGACGCATAAAGCAACGTCAAGTAAAACATGTAAAGCGTGATTAATATTGTTGGTGTCAGACAGAATTAAAATTACGGGTGAAGCCGCGGGCAGTAGCTTGTTTCTTAATAACAAATTCTCAATAGTTCTTACCTATTGATAACGGTCTAAGGGACAAGTTTGTAAAGAGTTAACGACGCGTTCAGTCAAAATCACTGGTTTCAAGTGATTTTTCTCAGAAAATTAACGAGTTTGAAAAAGGTATAAATTACAAGGAATTTTCACGTTCATTCAGTGATAAATCTCGATACAATTATAATGATCGATCGGCAAACAAATTGCTTTCGATAACAGAAATAAATTGAGGTAATTAAAGATACACCATTATCTCACTCGGACACAGAAAGTACAATATTTTTTAATAATTAGGTATGATTTATTATTATTAGCAGTGTGGACATCCTGTGGCTGAAATGATGAGAGATATTTGTAAATCATGAAGGTAGGTACTGACTTTTCCACTTCATTCGTCGGTTTTCCACTGGGATACCTATAGGTACGCTATCATTAAAATAGACTTTTTACTGTATTGAGCGTTATTGTTTCAGAGCTTTGGTCAAATAAACGGTGTAAGAAATATTGCAATCACTTTTATTACTTAATTTTAAACTGTCGCGTTGCATAATTAAATTAATTTAAACATTTTTTATTACTGATTCCAAACAATCAGTTTTCAAGTACGTGTGTACGTAAGTAGGTACGTGCATGTAAGTACGAGTACTTAATATGTAGGTAGGTACATTTGTACATATCGGGTTTCATTTTGGAGATAACGTGTGATCGAAATTCGGCAAATTTGGAAAATTTTCAACCGATTCCTGTAATGAATGGCTACGATCAGCCAATAATATTTTTATCGCGATAAATAAACACACCGATCATGGGTTATTGGTATTCGAGGTTCGTAAAAATATACAGGATTTTCCGGCTAAATAATCGAATTTATGTTTCAAATTAATGTAACATTTTTGTCAAGAGAATTTTTTTCTTTATTTGAAAAAATAACATTGGCAGCTACGACTAAAATATTTATAAAAAATAATTCCGGCTGTTTTGGAGACACCCAAGGCCGTTAATTTTTGTACACAGACCATAAATGTCACAACACGTTTTTATTTTGTTTTTCTGTCTGTCACTATTCTGTTTTCGCGCGCTTGGGTATTTGTCTTTTGTTTTATTACCCAAATGAGAACAAAAGACACCTGTAAAAGGACATCAATTTATAAGGTTTTTTTTATTTATACGAGGGTTAAAGTTTAAAGGTTATAGATATCTTCACACACAGCGTAGAAGACACTTGAAAATTTTGACATATTTATCAGACGGATTCAGTGGGCTGAGTGTGAGTTTACATCAAACGCGCTCACTAGATGAAAATTTTAGTTTTTGAACGTTTCCCGCTAGGGGCGCTGTACAATCCGTCATACCTACATTTTAATGTAATTTTTTGACGCGCTCACTAGTGAGCGCGTTTGATGAAAACTCGCACTAGGCCCTCAGTACCATTTCAGGCAGTCGATTTTTGAACTTTACATAATTTCTGAGATGTATTTTTTTACATTATTTATGGCTGAAATGACGATTATTATAATGAGTACCTATTTATTAGATGAAGAATAGGGAATTTACCTGTTTGAAGCCTCTCCTATATTTGTTGTTCATGTAGCAGTATATGATGGGGTTGTAGCAGGAGTGCGACATGGCCAGCCAGTGGCTCGCGAACCACACGTACGGCATGCCCGGCCACGACGCCCATTCTTCATCGTTCTCGTGAGCTGTCCACAGAACCTATAAAAAGAACAACTTTTAACTCTAAAGAAATCAAGAAGAAGAATCTTTATTACTGGGAGGCGACATTACCTATACAGAATTGCATCATTTACATAAAGTTTTATTAGTACATTCTTCCAAATGCGGGCAGCGCAGGACCGGTAATTGTGGAAATCCTTGGGGAAGGCCTTTGTCTGGCAGTGGAAGTCATTTGGTTGAACGTATGAACGAAGATATGCTTCTTCTTCTTCTATATGGTGTGTGTTATTTATAACTTAGCTTACAACCCTGGTATCCGCCATGTAGTTGTCATTAGACAGCCATATAATTGGCTCAATCGGACCAAATTGCATGCCCTACGAAGTGCGGAATGTTGTTATAATTATATAGAACAATTGTACAGCTTGTTCACTGTTCAATTTGTTGACTGTCACGCTGCTTTACTCTGTCACCACAAATTGATATCATCTAGATTAGTAAGTGCTAATAAATGACAATTGTATGTTATGAAGCAAGGATATTATTACATTCCCCATCCAGATCGTTGTGATAGGACGATCAAATGTAACAAATGGATCCCAATCCCTTTCGATATATCTTATTCCAAGCCTCTCTACGTCATATCTGACCTTTATAAAAAGTGTCCCTACCTACTGACCTTCAGAGGTGATGCTGTTAAAAAAGTTTAAAAAAAACTTTATAATCATTTAGCATAAAGCTTATTGTCGAACAAAACTCATGCCAGTTAAATGTACAAACTACGAGTATACTGGTATGACGTCTAATGGTTATTTTTGGAAAAATGTAAAGATGTTACTTTCAGTGGTAATTTCAGAGAACTGCTCCTGAATCATGTACCTACTTCTGCTATTTCTATGTATTTATTTAAATCAATCGTCGGACAGTAGTGACTGAGTTTGTTGCGGCGCTTCTTCTAAGCACTTGCCAAATCTTGGTCTCAAAGCGTTGGTAGGGTAAAAAGATTATGAGACGTGTAGAGACTCCTTAAGAGCAAAATATTTGACGATTTGTAAGTACCTACTATTAAAATATAGTATTTAAATAAAGAAACTTTGACTTACAATAGGAATAAAGCCATTGATGGAACCAACCACTTTTACTCGAGGCCCACAGTCCGCTGCTCTAAGCCTCCAAGTAAAATAATTCTTACAGTCCCAGGATTTGTCTTCGTGCATTATTATTGGGTGGGCGAATACAATTTCTTGGAATAGTGAAAGGCCCGCAATTTCCGCGGGTCGAGGAAGAGGAAATCCTGAATGCTATAAATTCCTACATGTCAGCTTGCAAATAACAAACAAAACTGGTAATGTAGTATCTATCTAGGTATTGGTTTATTATTGAATTAGTTATATAAATTGTTCAACTGTGCCGTTTTCAAACTAAAATTTAAGAATTTTAATTCGAATGTTTCAAGTACAGGTAGGAACCTCCTTAATTTAAAATTCGTGAAAATGAGTAATGTGAAAATTTGATTAAATGGACATAGGCTGATTTCACTGGAACTATTTCGTTCAATTAGAATTAATTGCTTAGGTATAGCTCACACAAGGTTCATTTCAGGATTCTGGGTACATAGTTAACTGCGTATCAGATTTAAATCCGATTTCAGTGCCTATTATCTAGCATTAACAAGTATCTGGTTTACTCTGAAGAGTTTTGTGCTTTTTTATCAAGTTCGCCCGATGCTGTAATGATGAGACTTTGTCCATTTTCATTTGGATATGCCTGAAATAGTGAACATCTTAGTTTCGGAGCATTTTAGTTTCAGAACCAGGTACAGGCTACATAGGTCTTTTAAATATTAGTTCTTGTAGGAGACATTTTTGTTAATTTTATGTGAAATCGAATTAAATTAACTTGAAATCAAATGATATTAACTAATATCTTGGACACAGGTCTTGAAATGGCCCATTTCTTCAATAAATGTCACGGATTCGCTCTTTCAGTCTCCCTAGTTAACACGGCAATAGTGGAGGAAAATATGTTCGAAATATGGTTATAGCTAAGAACGGGTGTGTATTATTGCCATAACGTTATTTTTATGGGGCTTTCAATGAGCCAATTAAGGCATCAGTCCAAAAGGTCTCGATAATTAGTAGCGCAATGACAGTAGTATGGTGTGAAAAAGCGACGCCATAACTTGTCTTTTCCATATTAAATCTATATAGGGTTTTACAGTTGGGGAGACCGAGGTGAGTTGTAACAAAGGAGAGTTGTGAAATTGACGTTTTTTTGGAACTTATTAACTTCTAGCGAGCTCGTAGCAGTGCGCGTTTTCTAGTTCAAGTCTCGAACTAACAAATACGCGATGTTGCGAGCTTGCTGATAGCTTCATAAAAAATTAAATAGTCTATTGTGTAGGATATGCGTTCAATACGGTCCCTTGTGTGGCAATGAAATGGATCGTTTTTTCACACCCACACAGGCGACCACCAAATACACGTTTTAATATTTTTTAACAATACCCTTGAACTTTCGCTGCAGCCTAAGAAATACATTTCTGAAACACCCACACTCGTTTCGTGCGTGGCTTAAGTTCTCGCAAAGCTGCTTTGTTAGGGGCATTAGGGTACAAATTTGCCGTAATTCCTCTAAAAATACTTACGTTAATATTATACATACTTACTCAATCGATAATCATAAAAGAGATTTCATAACATCATAATTAAACTAAATAAAGCAGTACTATATCCCAAAGTGCGTCATTTTGTCATGAAGTTTCAAGAGAAAAGTTCTTTCAATGAATTTCCCCATCAAAGCAAGTCCTATAAAATCAATTTATGCGTTGTAGTTTGTCCGAACTGTTTGCCAAAGTCCCAGAATAGCTCTGAAACATAGCAACCCCCTTATACAATCTATTCAGATTAGAAATTGAGAACAAACGGGCTTCAAACTTGACTGCTGATTCACGCAAATAGCAATACAGTCACTCTGTGAATAATTTCATTTCACTACAGTTAGTATTTAGTTATTTAATTTTTAGCGTTAAGAATTGCATCTCAAACTAATTTGAAAATAACTTGAAAAATCGAACTGCCTAAGGCGGGAATCGACCCACGACCTTTTGCTTTGACTGCTCTTCTATTTACTTAGACACTGGATGAACCCGTCGATTTTATGTTATTCTCAACGGCTGTACTTTTGGATAGTATTATAAAGTACTTCGGTTTAGTTTAGGTAATTATAATTTATACCTAATCGATAAAAGCATGAAGTCGTGACTCTGAAAAACAAACCCTTTAAGTAACTCTATAACGTGGGTGTTCCCAAATAAACTTTATGTGAAACAACGTTATGACAGTCCATAAAAAGTATCCCAATTAATGTCTGTGTTAATTAATGGTATAAAACCATGTCATCATGACTAATTTGTTCTGCCTACAAAAGTACAGTCGACAACACATTGGATTATAATGTATTTTTGTTTAAAAATATCACCTATTAAAAGATATGGCAGAATTTAGCTTGAGATGACGTCGCCGCGCCGTCTGAATTTTTTCCGAAAATGTTCCCTCTTTCGTTCTCGTCAATTCCGCCTGTCCGCTGGGGAAACAGCCTCGATTTCTTGACCAATGAACTATTAAATTGTTTTCCCTCCCGGTGATTATGACGTTTTAAGGGTGTATCATGCCAAAATATTGGCAACTACAGACGATTGAACATCAGACAATTTTGTTGCAAAATTGCAATCTATCATCACTACAATATTAGGATTGTTCAACACGATTTCTCAGGAGAATATGAAGCAATTTCACAGTTATTTTTTTATCTAAATTAATAATATATATTACAGTAAATAAAATACGTGGAAACTTAAATTTTGACACCCGTAATATTTATTATGTATTTTACTTTGATCTATTTTAGAACGTTTTCATAACCGAAATTCCCATTAATATATTTTGATTTAATTCACAGTCGCAATCAAATTGAGCAAAATTTTCGCTACCAAATATTTTGGAGCTAATTGAAACGAAATAAAAAAAACCGTTGTTTAATGAATACCATTATAATTTCTCATACCAAAATAATTTAAAGCAATGTTGCCATTTCATAATGTTACATTTTGCATGCCTTGATAAATAGTTACTGTTTTTGGAATTAATGCATTTTATTATCTAGACTTTTCCTCTCTATCTTTGATTCTACTATTCTCTCTGTCTCTTTCTTACGTCACCTCTGCAATTCCTGTTAAACCAGAATCTACTTGAGTTCAAATAAAATCCAACAAGTGAACGCAGTTTGTCCCAAGGCTAAGTGAAATTATCATATCAACCGGAACAAGTTAACCATAAGAAAATGGAAAAAGTTCGAAGCTGTACCTAGCTTATTATGAAAATTATGACCGATTAGTAAGCTTAGCATTGTGACCTGTCCTTTCGACCTTTACCTTGACTAGTAGTAGTCATCAGTAGATGCGATAGCTAGAACTAGAATAGGTCTCCTCATCTCCTGGGGTCAGCTTATCCGTCACCGGAAGATTATATACAGGGTGGAATTTTCTAATGCCACCTGGAGGAAAACTACTCTTAATATTGTAGATAGAAAAATTTTCTCAAAGAAAACATTCCTTTATTTTTGAAAAGAAATAGAACTGCATTCAAAGATTTCCAAAAAATTGCTTGCCACACCCGGGATTCGAACCAACTAAAATATGTTAAAAATTACACCCTGTATTTTTATTGCATCGATCGTTAGGGTCAAGTATAAGGATGAAATCTCTCTAACAAACTTGATAAATCAAATGAAAGGAAATCCATAAAATCTTAAATTATTTTAATTATGTACAGAAAATTGTATGGTATGGTAGTGAATTTTCGAAAAAATTTCGAAAATCTATGAATGCAGTTCTCTTTCTTTTCAAAAATAAAGGAATGTTTTCTTTCAGTAAAATTTTCTATCTACAGTATTAAGAGTACTTTACCTCCAGGTGGCATTACAAAATTCCACCCTGTATAGGTCCTTCTCACCCAAGCACTTGATTCACTATATGGATAGGATCTTTGCGGATGAGGGGGGCTAAAGGTATAGGGAAGCACAAAAGATCCCAATGGGTCGACGTGCACTGCGCCCATGCGCGGCCCTAAATAAGATAAGATAAGATAAGATAGTAGTCATAAGACATCAGAAATACAACTTACGATGAAAACGTTGAGCGGCAGCCAGCAGATTGTAAACACTGCCACCACCGTCACCATCATTTTTATCATCTGAAACAAACAGATGGTGTAAGTAAGGATAAAGGTAGTAGCAGACTAGCAGTGAGGAGCGTCTGTTCAAAATAGGATATTTTGACTGTAAACAGACTCAGTAAATCGAAAAACATCTCTTTTAACAGACTCGGTTAATCAAAAATAAGCAAGAGCGTCTGCGGAAGACCAGCTTCGCGACATGCCCTTTCGAACAAATGCTGAGCCCGCCTGTTGGCACAGTTTTTTACCTCTAACTTTTTTTGTTAAGTACCTGCCTAAATGTGTTTTTTGTTGCTTTTTGTGTTTTTTTTTTGTTTTAATAAACTATTTCTATCTATCTATCTATCTCTACACAACTTACATAGACCAATTAGCATTTACTATTTTTTAACCAGAATCCTAGTAAACGGTAGCAATTTCATTACACATCCAGTGAAAATAGCCCCTTTTGGACAGACGCTCCTGTTAGTAACTTAGCTTCTAAAGAACACAAACGAATGAAAGAACACCACTATGTGATATTAAGCCACACATTCATACACTCGTTACCGTTAAGCTGAACTACCAGTGTAACGTAGAAAATGGTGTTAACCAATTCGTAATAAATGTAAAGCCACCATTCGCCACGAGTCTAGCCGTTACTGCAAAGCTTAAGCCACTAAGTAAAGGCTTGTTTAGTATTATCGTTAACACTTTCAGCTCAGAGAAACTAGGCATAATAGAAAATCTATTTCTAGAGGCTCCTTTTCATATTGGAATTGTTGTTGCATCTGGCAACCAACAGGTTGTAATATAAATTATGCAAATTATGTAACTTATTACTAACTTTCCGCTTCGAATGCTGCATCCTCGAGTCGCGTAGCGTCTGCGCCTCTCCAGGCGGGCGGCCTCCCCACACGACGTGCGCTATCCGCGCGTATGTGCACACTAGCGCGGTCAGCGGTAGCGCGAACTGTAGCGCCAATAGCGCACACGTGTACTGCTCGCTGAGCTGCGCGCTGGACCACTGCTCGCTGCAAATGTCCCTAACATACAAAAGAAGAGTCCAGTTGAGATTGATGTATGGTAAATGAAATCACTGGGATTAATCTGTAGCGCCAATAGCGCGCACGTATACTGCTCGCTATGTTGTACGCTAGACCACTGCTCACTGCAAATTTGATAATTTAAAAGAAATAGTTTTATTAAGATTGAGAGACTTATGGTAAATTATCTCTGATTTATCTGTAGGGCCAGTAGCGCTTACGTGTTACTGCTCGTTAAGAACGCTGGTTCACAAATTAGTGACCTCCCAAATGAATTCAACTGAATAATGTTGATTTATCTTTGCAAATAGTCACGTACGAATGCAAGTGAATCCGAAATTATGGTGCAAAGAGCCCTCATTAAAATAATGTTACATTGTCACGTCGTCTCATTTACAGTGTACGTACTTATTATGAAATAGAGATAATTTACAATAAGGTGATAGGTACTATTATAAGCTGTGTTTTTTGTCTCATATGTCTCATTTTTCATCGCTGTTTTTGTATTGATTTAATGGCCTAGATTAGTCCGATTGCCAACAGGTAAAAATGAAATAGAATGGCCATTCATAACATTGTGTAATAGTAGAAAATACAAACATTTGTTTGATCGACCGATTTAATCTGTTTGCCTCATAATGTTTATTGGTCCAAGGCTTTGAGGCTCACCCAAATCTTTGTCAAGCTATTCAAAATATTATTATCGTCTTTGTCTTTATTGCAAATTAATTCAGTAATGTTTTCATGACGGATGATAAAAATACAAAGAAACACGAAGCCTTTAAGATTTGATGAAATATTCGTAGGTTAAGTTTGCTTTTATGCTCTGTTGCATAAAAGTGTTTATGAATCTCTGTGTCTTTCAGTGATCTCTGGGCTCTCAATGAATGATCAGATATTGCTCCAATTTTTAAATATTTTTATGTAGGACAATATTACTCACACTTCGCAGGCTTCGTGCCACGGCGACGGTCTTTGCAGCTGCGATACAATGGGTATAGGGGCGGCAGTGGCTAACGCACCGACCCACACCGCCGCCACTATCATCTTGGCCGCCGCCCGCCCCAGCCGCGGCTTCAGCGGGTGCATGATCGCCATGTACCGGTCGATCGAGATCGCCAGCAGCGTATACGCACTCACCAACACAGACACAGTCTGCGAGTAGTTCACTATCTTACACATCACCTCCCCAAAAGGCCAATACCGCAATACCAACATGGGCACAAACGAAAACGGCACGCAAAACAGCGTCATAAAAATATCACCGACAGCTAAATTCACTATGAAAAAATTCGTTACAGTCTTCATACGCGGGGTTGTATGGACTACGAAACATACTAACCCGTTTCCTAAGAGAGCTACGATAAACACTGCACTGTACATGAAGTAGATACACATTTGGAAGAAGGGGGAGCCGATAAAGTCCTCCGTCGACGACTCGAAGACGCAGACCAGGCCGTGCTGAGCCCAGGAGTGGTTGGTGTGAGTCTCGTTGCCTCCCCACTCGATTCCCCCATGGTGGAGACAGTCGGTCGTCACGCACGCGGGTATTTGAACTTCAGCCCCAGAAGTAGGGTCGCTGGTGTAGTGCATCATGCGAGGTGACCATGTCACATTTTTCCCACGAAGACTGTCCTTGGTCCTTTGTTGAAAGGCCTGTAACAAACAAACAAAGTGAGCGCTAGATTGTAGGAGGTATAACACACTTAACCGCTTGAGTCCCAGACGGCATTAATTAATGTCATAACAATTGATTATCTATTGTGTCTAGATTCGCGGGCCTTGAAGGATTAATGAACAGCCCAAATCGGCCAAATTATTATTTATTTATTTAATTATTTATTATTTATTTACCTATTTTTTACTTTTTAAAACTAATGAAAATGTAAAGAGATAAAGCGTGCCAAAGTTCTAAAGAAAAGGCCCGTGACGTCAGTGAGTGCGTAAAAGTGCTGCACTTTGTGACGTCGCGCGGAACTTCAACGCACTATAACTTTGTAATTATTTGCTAGATTGACAGTTAAAAATATACGTATCAAATATTTTTTTTTATTAAAATTGACGGACTAAAAAATTTTTTTAGGAAACTAGCCTATTTACAAAATTGACAATCAGACTAATTCAAGTTGCCAATTCAAGATACAAACTTCGAATTGTGTACAAGCGTCGTGTTTTAAAATTATATCTTCACAACTTAGTTTATTATCTACTTGTTAAACCTACTATGTATTTCTGAAGATCTTTACAGAGCTATTACACTTTTGATATTAGTTGAATCTTTGACTGTAGTATAGAGATCGTGCACAGAAGACTCACCCCCTCACTAATAAAACTTACACGCTCGTTGATCAGTGTTTTAAAGTGACGTTTAGTATGGAAATGTCATTTTAAAACAGTGATCAACAACTGTGTAACTTTTTATTAGTAAGGGGGTCACAGTTTAATTATGTCATTAAAAACAATGACTTTTCGGCTTGTATGCAAACGGTGTAAATATCTTCAATCTGGATATTGTATGTTTTTTTGTTAAAAGCTGTCAATTTTAATCAATTTTCCGCTGAAAATGTTTACTATTTTTCCCAAAAGCGACAAGTCAATGGGTATCAGATTTTTTCGTCAACCCTTTTTCATTTTATTGAAAGGACTTCAACTGAGGCCGTACTTTATCAAACGCGGGCATTTTAGTGACAGTCTGGTGTCTGTGTGTTCAGGACACATCTAAACTAATATTATAAAGAAGTAAAAGATATAGTAAGGGTTAGGCTGTCTGTGGGTTGCCAAAGTTCTTTATAAAGGTCACCATAATGCCGAGGGAGGTTTGCGATGGGCACCGCGATTATGCTCAGTTTGCTCTTTTATATTTTCCTTTTTAGTTGTGCTAGCTAGCGCGAATATATTAATATTAGCCTTTCTGATGCCCCATTATAATAAATAATCCTTACTTTCTTTGTAAAGGTAACCTCGTATCAGTACCTAGAGTTTGCTTTTGTGACACAAAGAACACGCAGTTGTTGGAATAGCGTTTAAAGCTAAAGATAAAAATTAGGCAAAGTTGCACCACCTAACTTTGATCATAATTATAACTTTAACCGGTGTTTTTTGTATGGAGTTTGACAGATGCTCGTTTGCAAATTAAAGTAAGATGGTGCAATCCAGCCTTATTAAAGTTTGTTTTTTGGTATAATTTAATTTAAAGTTTTGCCCCAGTTCGAGTAATAACAACGATTGTGGCCTCCTGACCTTGGCGTCCCAGAGGCCTAGTCCACATTTCTCGCGTCTCGCCACAGGGTGCCCTTAGAAGCGAGATTCCTTTACTACAAGGTCGGGTCCTTACTTGACGGTCGAAAATGGCCCTTAATTAAAGGCATACTTCCCTACCTTGATGAGACATAGTGAAATCTAATAGTTAACTATTCAAAATAGGTGAAAAAAGTAACACTATGCCCTTCTCTTTCTTAGAATTAAAAACAAAGTGCCTACTTTTGTTCAGACTGCTGATAATAATTTTCCTACTAAATTACATAACTAGCTGCTAAAGGTACAATTTTTGCTAAATTGAAAATTAATAAAGTACAGAGCTCAAAGTAAAATATAAAAAGAAAAAAGGTCCATCAAAAAAGAAGAAGAAGTGCAGATGTCAGGTAAATTGTAGAATTTTAACAACAATCAGTCAGAGAAAAACCGGTAAAAATAAAAAGATTTTGTTAAAATAAATAAAATGGTTAATTTTGACGTATTTTACGTATTTTACTCGTATTAACAGCCCACTGGAGCGCTATACAGTGTGAGTCACGTTTTGAAAAAATCTTATTTGATAAATTTCTCCAAAAAATGCCCCTATAACCGGTGGTTTTTATTACTTTGTATTATTCTCTATCGTATTACCTTTGTAAAACCAAAAATCGCATGTCTCTATCCCTATCATAACGTTTGCAATGATGCTGAAAACATTGAATTTTCGGATACTTCCAGTTTATTCTGTAACCTATTATTGGTACCGTTTGAAAGAGCTCGTCAAGCACTTTCAGGATCAGTTTTTCGATATCTTGTATAGTTTAGAAATAATCGAGTGAGATCACTTATCGTTTCCACCCTGTATATTATGTACTGTGTGTGTAAATCTTGCCACTTGCTTATTGTAAAACATGCAATAAACCTAGCCGCAGACCATCAACTTTTAGTTGGCCGATAATTGGGTCGGGCTGTTGATCAGTATGGAGATAGTTATTTAATTTTTAGCGTTAGGAGTCGCATCTCAAACTAATTTGAAAATTATAAATAACTTGAAAAAATCGAACTGCCTAAGGCGGGAATTGAACCCACGACCTTCCGCTTGCCGGGCGACTGCTCTTCCAACTGAGCTACTTAGACACTGGATGAACCCGTCGACATTTTCAAGTGTAATACGCTGTTACGGCCAGCGTTTGTTTATTCAAAATAGACATATTATGTCATAAAATATGTTCGTTTTAAGTGAAATAGAAATTTAAGTAAGTAGGCAGGCATTTCTATTTTGTTAATAATGGAAGTTATTTCAACAATACTCATGCCAATGAATAATAATTTATTTTATCATCTTCAGAGGAATTTTCGTAGGCATTGGGAGTGAGGGATAAACCTTATTAACTTTCCAATTCATTAAGCATTTAAATAAACTTTAATAAGTAGCTTTAGCCGGCGGTTTAACCCGCCTTGATTTATTTATACAGTGTGTTCGGATAGGGCTAGCGATAATTTAAGGCGATGCTGTGATATCGGCGACCAGACTATACAAAAATGCCCAATGTGTTATTGGAATGGGGGCTTAATTTCTTATGTGACTCTACATAAAAAACATTGTATGAGCCCGTCTTACAGATAAATAAAAAATTGCATTTGTAAGCCAATAATATTTGTCATTAAAAAAAACACAAAAATGAAAAATAATAACCAAAAAACTTAAAAAAATAATAATGAATTTTAGTTTTTGTCAAAAAATTCAGTTTCGACGGGCACGTTTTTGGAGGCATTTTTGTCGCCAATAATATCGCCTTAAATTATCGCTAGCCCTATCCCAAACACACTGTATAGTTATTGAAATAGGTTTACCAACAACACATCTTTAAACAAACAAAAATAACATGCATGCAATGATGACAAGATCATAAGGTTGAGTAATAATGATGAATGATTTTTTTTTAAATGGAGGGAGTTTAAGAGATACGCTACTTTTGATAACATAAATGGCTGACTTTCCAACATTGGTTCTATAACCAGATGCACAAATATGACGATTGAGGGAGAAAAGGGCGAATAGGAATAAAAATAATATTACTTGTGTCTGATTCTATTCATTAAAATTTCTATACATTTATGGTGCTACGTGTATTTCTTCACCATCTTCCCCTTTATATTTCAAACAGGGCTTCATAATATATCTTCAAAGGAGAATCTCTTCCTAGCGACAAAACCGCGTAAATTGCTTCCAACTTTTGTATTTCTCGTAATTGTCAACTTTGTGTGGTATGCAAAGAGTATCTAATACAATGCCACGAAACAGTGATAATGCTGTAAGCCAAATTATATTCCTACCTCTTTTACAATAGAAGCGCGTAACTGACTTTTGCAGTTAATTTCTCTACAAATTTAATTAATTTGACAAGACAGTATTATTAATGCGATGATCAGTATCTGTCTTTATTTTACTACTTATGCATACTAAGTTACTATTTAATTAAAAATATTTACGTTGATTATGTAGATGAAAGGTTTTATTAATTTTGGAAGAGGAAGTTTTTATCTGAGATATTAATTTGTTTGAAGGATTACGTATGATCAGTTCAAATTAATTAGATTTTTCTATTTTTTTTATTCTATTTTTTGCATCTTTTTCGTATCTACCGCAAGCTCTATCGACGTAATACATGTAGGTACCTACCTATTTTTTTATAATAAGCTGTCAGACATTCGATACTCGTCTTAAGTAGGTATTAATAAATGTATTCTTTCAACAATCACATCAAAGAAAATGAGATCGTCATCATCATCATCATCATTTCAGCCACAGGACGTCCACTGCTGAACATAGGCCTCCCCCAATGCTTTCCATGTTGATCGATTGGTAGCGGAATGAGATCGTGCTTTGGAATAAATTTCTTCATACCTACTTATAGTTTCCAACTTCCACACTTTGGTGTTACGAACGCTTAATTTTTATGAGATTTTACATCATAATGCAATGGCTTTTCGGTTTATAATGTATTGTTTTAGATGCAGAAACCGTAAAGAAATCAATCTTCAGGAAAGTATCCTGGGCTGTAGTTACCTATAAATATTCCATTTCTGTGAAAACTGAGTAGGAAAATAAGGCATTGCGAAATAATATCTTGCTACGAGTAAGTCTCAGTATTTTTTTGTTTATATTCGACTTTTACAATCAATAGGAGAACGGGGATGAGCTTGATGTATTCGTTCTACTTACTCGTTCGTTGTAGTTTTTCTGAAAGCTATCATTTTAAAAAACATTAGTGATCGACACCAATCTGCCATGGAATGCTGATTTGAAGTTGTTTATACATTTCATCAAAAAGAAATGTAGGATATCACAAATGTTC